GTGATTTTCACTATTTTTTGAATTGTCCATAACAAGATCAACAAATTTCGTTGAATTCTTCGAAAAAGATGCATTCTTCAAATATTTGTTTTAAATTCAGATAAAAAATGTTTAAAAGTGTGACTGTTTTATACCAAGTAATTGGAATTATTGAAAACAGTTTTTAGACATTGCCATGGAAGCTCTTACATCTAAAAAGATAGAACACATACTGTAGATGGACTGTATATATGCAAAGGTGGTGCACCTAAATATCTCCTCGAATAGCGATGTTCCAAAAAATATTTTGTATGAAATAATATAATATGTTATTATTATATAATAATAATAATTAACTGATATCAAGAGATGAATGCGATGCAGAATGTAGTTGTTTTCAAGATCATATTTTGTTGTATTGCATCGTGAAACTACCATTAAAATTCATTCAGACGCGTATATTGTTCTGACCTTGAAATGACCTCCGATTCCAAACATAACACGAAATGTGACATTATTATCTGACGGTATTTTGAGAATTAGAGACGAATGCAATAACGTGCAATGCTACATGATGCAATAAAAAAATGTGCTTATATGTGAATTAATATAGATAACCTTGAAACTCAGAAAAAAATTATCTTGGTGAGATGAATTTTTGCATTGTGTTCCTATCTTGGTACCAGGTACATTACAAATAAAATTTGTTGCAACATCTCTATTAGAGGGGATATTTAGATGGCCTTGTTTATATATAGTTGGACCACCCGGTATGATTGCTCACTGTAAGAAGGAAATCGTTGACAATCGAGATTATTAATCTCTTAGCCATGGACGATACATAGTGGTCAGTTTCCATAGAAACAACGAAAAAGAATCAGTTTGAAAAAATATCCCCATAATCCATAATTTATTCACTAGTAGTCTATTAAACATGTGGCTTATTATTTACTACGATTTTTCTCACCATTTGTTCATTTTGGACACGACTGCATGGCCTCAAAGTAGCTCATCTTCAAATCATCCTAAATTTATACCATCGTTTATAATTACTTTGTTCTTTGAAAATAAATAATTTTTACAGAATTTAATGCGCTCAGTATTATTTAAATTATGTTACAGGGCACTTTTTTATCTCTCACATTTTTTGAGTTATGTCCAATTGAATATGATGAATTTTCATTTCATTTTCAAAAATAATAAATCATCTAATAATAATGCCAAAATGGTGCGGTTCACGAATCAAAAACGATACCTATGGGCTAACGAGTTACGCGAGATGTTTTGAATAGATTGAGTAAAAAAAATATCAATATTTCAATTATTCGCACTCTACTGAAACTTATGAGAATAATTATAAATTATTTTTTGTTATTATATGCAGACTTTTGCTCACATCCGACCCGTACATGTCGAGTATGAAGAAAAGAACGATCCAAGAAATTGAAACCATTTCTCAAAGAAACAATCGAACTATTGATTTCGGAACATTGTTCGCAGCATAAAAATGGAGAGAATGTTCAATTTAATTGATTTGAAAACAAGAATTGTATTTTTAAAAAATTTGTTTATAAACAATTAAAACACTGCATTTTGTTTTCATTATTCTATGCCAACAAAAACCCAAATATATGTACTGGTAACATAAAACGAAAAAGTAAGGCTAAAATATATAATTTTAGTTATTATGTTTCTTTTCGCATTTAGTATGGAAACCGATCACTGTACGACGTGAAATGGCAATTTTACATCTTACAACAGAAATACTTCTCCTACGATTTAAGTTAAAATGCTTGTGAAACATATTCATAAATTTTGCACATTTTAGAATAATTCTAGAACAACTTGTCGAAAGAAACTGCATCCAGTGTGATCGATAAAACGCGTACAAGACTGATCTTAAAAAGAAATCGTCGCGGCTATGTGGTTAAATGGTCGAATTGTGATGATTTCAACCTGAAAAATCAGAAACAAAGTGGCAAGCTGTTACAGTTTAATTTTTAAAAATTAAGAACTTCAAGAAAGATTTCAGTACTGAATGATTTCGAGGAAAAGGATTTGTTAGACCACATTTCAGAAACATTCCTGTGAAGAAATGAGCGAGGACTTATTACGCTACCTGAGATTATAAGTTTTCGTTATTGCAAGCAAAATTGTACTTCGCCAAATTTTATTAATCTGATAATTATTTAGGTTCACGTTGCAGAAAGTTCATAACTAGCAGAAGACCGACAAAAGAAATCGCCGAACTCTCTTGGTGGTGTTGTTCTTACAAAGTTAATGTAGACCAAAGTAAAAGAGATATGAAAATAACCAACTATACTATATGTAGCAATTTCTAATGTAGCTGTTGAGTATAGGTTAAATAAATAAATGAGAAAAAGTACATCTGCTTTTTGTAATACGTATGGTTTTTGAAAATTAAATAATTTGGTGATATCACATGTACCAAGATTATGATTTAAAAAATGACATATACATTGAAATATTGATGTAAAAAATTGACATGAGCAAATCAGATCAAGGTTATGTCAAGCTAATGTCTAGCTTATGTCAAGTCATTTAAAAACATCATATTACAAAAACTGTTTCAAGCAAATGTTGTGCACTATTTTACGTAAAATATTATTCAGAAATAAAAAAATATAAGTTTATGATAAAAAAAAGGTTAAATGATTTTGAAATAACCTTGAAAACGCTCGCGCATTAAAAACTAGTAGTGTTATTACACTCGAAATACTAAAGGATATGTGTTAATTTGTTTTTTAAATCACGTGTCCACGAGATTTTCTACGATCTCAATTTAAATGGAAAGATTCTAATATAATTTTCTAGCATACATTTACTTACGAAATTAATTTGAAGTCAATCTAAAAAATCGCTTAAAAGATTGTAAACTCCAACGGATTATTAAACTATAAATCCATCTATCACCATAGAAACATAAACTGGATTGTAACAGAGGAAATAAAAGAATAGACATTTGTTTATACCACTGTTTTAATAATCCACACTTTTTCAAACTGAATTGATTCAATTTTTAAGGAAATCATGGACGCATATTTATTCATTAATATGTATCAACACATATGATTCATTAATATGCATGACTATTTTCCAATATTGTACAGCATTTTTGCATAGCGAACGTGGGAGCGGTACGCTCCATTGGAAAGTATATTGTCGCATAATTAAAAATGGCAGTGAATTACTTGTTAACAAGAATTTCGCTTCAGCAACTTCGAAATGTTAACATTGTGTACACATAATGTTATATTTTGCTGAACATTCGTCAATTCAATTCATACCTTGACTTTTTAAGTGTAAAATCTACCACATATACACTTATATTTGTTTATACAATTTAAAAGTTTAATAATCGAATAGAGAAACTATATTTTTGCATTCGAGGACAACAGAAATGATTCTAATTAGTAAATTTATTCGGATTGATGTTTTTATTAAAATCTAAACGATGAACAAACATTCCGAGTGAATAAACATCGAATTATATAAAACAGTAATGTTTACCATAGCCTTCTCACATTCAAGTTTAAACGTTAGTTGGTATCAATTTGTTTTTGCTTATTGTTTTTCCTAGTTATCTTAACGACGTCCTACGTGTTCAAGGTAATGCTTCTTAAAAACTATAATTTATACTTTAAGGTGTGTTCAATAAAACTGGAAAATTGTTTGCACATTGTCGCTGAGATATCACATATTCATTAAACATTTTTGTTCATGTATTGATTCTTCACAAAATATTATATTACACTTTTAATGAAACCTATAACCATTCAGAAAAACTAGAATTGTTTAATATAATAATATCATTCAAGAGATTGAAAAACGATTTGTGAATAATAATTTTAACAAACATGCAACTTAAGTGTTCATTTACTGGATTGGTCACTCTAAAATCTCTATTAAATATGATTTATCTTTTACTTTCTATATTACTGGTTACTTTCCTCAACACTACGTATGAAGTTAAATAATCAATTAAATGTCAACCTTTGTTTAAATTGTGTGCAAAAGCATATTATTCTCATAAACAGTGCAGATTACAATAAATATACAAAAGCCATGCAATAGGATAGCGGAGCCAGTTACTGTGCGGTGATTAATCGCTGTGTTTACGGTTCGTTTTTGAGCATAATTAACTTTATATTCATCAAATAAGACAAATTACATTTTTTTATGAAAAAAGAAACATATCGAAAAAATAAAAGAATTTATCATATCTTATTCGATAAATACAAATACAAATGAAATTGGATGTACACATAGATGAAAGATTGCTCATATCTTCACAAATAGAGTAGTGGAACCGGTTACTGTGGGGCGACAAATTGTGTTGTACCTCTAGTTTGTTGTCAGGCATAATTAACTTTATATTTATCAAATAAGTCATATTATTACATTAAATTTTTTTCTATTCTTTTGTTTCGTTTATTTTTCAAATAAAAAAATTTGTACATGTCTTAATCGATGAATATAAAGTTCGTTACGCCCAAAAAAAAAACAAACTAAAAGCCCACAGTAACCGGCCCTACTTCTCTATTTGTGAAAGACACGAACAATCTTCCATCTGTATGCACATACGATAATGTCATTTCCTTATTCTCTGCAAAACAACCCTCGAGTACAACCCATCTTTTCGTTACATCGATTTCCTACGAAACTGTGTATCGAATACCAAGAAACAAATTCGGTTGTGGAAACATGCGATGGGTGAGGGTTAATCATGCCGAGCTCTCATTACGAAAGCACCGGCGCATTTAGCAAATAGAAACGAGCTCTTTGTTCGATAGCTCTCCCGCAACAACAATCGAAATTGCAGGCAGCATTCCATTCTAATTTGAACGTCAAAACGGTAATCGAAGACGATACTCCACGTATAACCGTGGCTTGTTCGTGCAAACTAGCGAACAGATTATTCTACTTGACGTATGGAATGCGCAAGGTTCCGGACAATACGATCGGCAATCTGATTGAAATTAGTTTAATTATCGTCTTACGTCACGATCGTGTTCCGTTTCTGAGGTGTGTCCGCTCAGAGGCGCAGTCTGCTCGAGTTCCTGACCCGGATCTGTCATTGCATCTTTCAGGTCGTAGCTGCCCGAGCTACTGCTGCTGCTGGACCTCGCCGGCGATGCTGGCACCTCCAATCCAAACGGAATTTCCGTTTCCTCCAGTATCGGCGGCGGACTGCACGGTTCTTCAACGACAGCCTGACGCGGAATACCAAAGAATTTAATTTTTCCACCGAATACAAAAAGCCTTCCCCCTCAATTGATCATTTTCGAGACTGAAATTTCGACTGACCGGGACTCTCCTGATGCCGATTCTGACATAGTCATCGATTTAGTAGAATGGCGAATGATTTAGTAACTTAAGGCGCGTGTCGATCTGAGAGTAAAACTTTCGACAGTTGTTATAGTCCCGTATATGCGCCAGCCCCTTACCCTTCCCCGCGTTTTGCCGAGCTGTTTGCGAAATCACTAGGCTCGAGTCGTATTAAGGCCACTGTCAGATAGCTCTATTTTCGCAAAACGAATCGGTTACATACAGTGGGAGTAACTGTCTCGTAGTGGTCCTAGTACGATATTAGCCTCGAGGCTCCGCGGTACAGTAAGGCAAGACGTAAGGAAGGGTAAGGGGCCTGGCGGAGCTCACATATACGAGACCATAGAGCAGGGCTCGGAATTAACCAGCACGCAACATGAGGATCGCCTGACACGCTGTACAATTGCTGTCGTGTGGCACTTTGGGGGCAAAGCAAACCACAAAACTCCTTACACGGACGTGGAGTTAAGACTGGGTCTTCCGTACCCAGCCTAATGAACGATGAGCGAAGGCGGCGATTTACCCACGTTCGGACCCCTCGTAGGTGTTCCGTCGGGGGGTAGGTACTAAATTTCTTGTGTATGCCAGATCTGGCGAGGAAACATATCTGCGCCATCTTCGCGGTGGCCAGATTTGCAATAAATGTCCCTTCGCGCGCCTCGCTCCCCGATGATTGCCTATATGCTACACACACTCACGCATATAAAGCAACGGGCAGCAAAGAAGCGACCACGAGAAGCCAAACGCGCGGCGGGGGTCAGGAGGCGTAACCCTCACGATCTGAACGTTACGTGCTGTTTAATTCCGAGCTCTGCTATAGAAAAACTCTCGAGAGTTTTACTCTCAGGTGGACACCCGCCCTTATTTTGTGTGTGTGTGTTTATTTGCGTGATAATAGTATTTAGTCGAATAGGTTAGTAAACCAATTTAGTCAAGTAGATACACTCTGATGGAGTTTTCTTGTCGAGTAGGCTTCACCCATCATTCACCGATAAAAAACTAAATCAGGGACCAGAACTGTTATAACTAGACTGCGGATATTTGTGCAGAGTAAACATTTGCCAAATAAAAATAAAATGTTCCTGTTATTAATTTGAATAAGTTAAAAATAGTGCAGCGATATTATTAAGTTCTTCTTACTTCTTCACAATTTTATATTTCAGCTATCTACTTAGTTTTGCCATAGATGCAAAAAATACACAGTCTAGTAATAACCAAATGGAGCAACAAATTGACGCATAACCATTAAGTTTGATTTAAAATGATTTTGGTTAGCAATAGATATCATAAATTACGAAAATAGATTTTGATTGTTAATAACCATTATATATGACGGAAACAATTTTTGATTAAAAATTATCATTATAGATGACGAAAATTGTTTTTTGTTACGAAGCGATTATCGTTACAGATAAACATTATAATCGACGAAAACAGGTTTTGGTTATAGATAACTATTACGGATAACTAAAATTATACATTATAATTATTAATTACAAATAACCATTTGATAATTTTGATTATCCGTGATGGTTATTTATAATCAATAACAACTTTCGTCAATTATAATGGTTATCTGTAACGAATTAACATTCTCGTCATCGATAATTGTTGTATTTAACGGAAAACAATTTTCGTCATCTGTAACGGTTATTTGTAATCAAACACTGTTTCCGTCATTTAGAATAATTATTGATAATCACAACGCATAAAATTCATTTTTTTCTAATCACTGCACTTTTCAAAACTTTTTTTAAACTGAAAATCAATTTTCTGTCGCCGATTATTTCACATAAAAATTTTGTCATACCTACAGCTAGTAATCCAGCAGAGTGGCGAGTTATTTAGAAAACTATTGTGTATGGGCAGTAGAATTTAATCCAGCAGGTTACTAAACCAATTTAAACAAAAAATGATCCATTGCTCTTCTGGTCGAGTACGTTGCCCCCTCCCCCACGGCTCCCTAATAACTGGACTGTGGATTTTATGCTATGACATTATGTAAGGACATTTTATGAATTTAAGGATATCGTTGCATTATATTTTACTGATTATTTTAATTAAAAGAAGAACAACATTTTCATCTAATTTCCAAATTTCATAAACAACTTATTTAATTTTGATTTTACATTGGGATCCGCAGTCTACTGATAAAATACTGACCCTATAGGCTTGTTCAGTCACAATTTGTAATTTAGCAGAGCAAGTTAGTAAGTTATTGTGTGTGGGCTGTGTAGGATGTAGTCGAATGAATTATTAGAAGAATTTAGTCAAGCAGATCCATTTCGATCAACCTGACTCACCTGGACACTTCTCCATGTACTAAACTGTTTAGTAACAAGTAGCTGCTGGCCACTTTAGTAAATTACTGGCCGCGTGTGAACTAATCTTTTAGCTCCCAACGCACAGTGGACGATTCTTCTCAAGGAGGGGAAGAATTATTTCTTTTTGATCAAAAATATCGATCTATTATTATTTTTTATTTTCCAGCTATAATGTGTATCGCCAGTGGACAAGAACCTCCCCCCCCCCCCTCGTTTTTGACGTGATATCTTTTCTCAGATAATCTCAAATAAAAAATTCCATTTAGGTTTTATTTTGTACATACTCAGTTATGTGCGTATGACGTACAATCATTGGAACAAATGGAACAAAAAAATGTGTTGTTCAAACCAAAAAGATCGGTTTTTGTAATTAACTCGTTGCTCTCCGAAACCAATACATATGATAACCATACATAGGGTGTTTATTTTGTCCTGCACATTGAAATATTTTCGTTATTTGTGCTGGTATAAAAAGATGTGCCAGGACAACTTTGTTTATGTTCAAAGCTAAGAATATTATGATTCATGTTTCGTTTTCTTCTGAAGTTCATTTTTTTCAAGTATTGAAGGAATCTTATCATCGAATCATGCATTATATACTATTCTTTTAAAATAAGATCATTATTTAACAAACGTGGGATATTAAATTATAATTGATTCAAGAAAATCGCGAAGTTCCCTCAAGAAATGGGGATTGAACGCAGGTGCTTTGTTTTTTACGTGACTCGCGAGTTAGAGCGCTGAAACTTGGAATTTAATAGTAGTGTCGTTCGTAAAACGTAAAGTTTTAATGGGATCGTAATTTTGTGGAATTGTTATTCCTTTCATCGTGCTGATTTCTCGTACTTATTCCACGCTGTTGAAGAAGATAAATGCCAGGGCAATGGTGTTATAGAATCCACAATTGAGCATGAAGACAATTTAACTCTTTATGCAATTCCATAAAGAATGTACTTTGAATCCTGGAATGGGGTGAACGCTTTTAACGATTTCATGGCAGCTTCAAAGTCATTTTAACTTCAAGTCTAAAATTCTTTTTCTGACCTACAATATTTTATATAATTTATTGCATCTTATGCATATGAAATTCAGTCTATTGGCACGTACAGTACTTGCACTTCTAACAATTTTTTAAATATAAACAAATTTGATGCTGCCAAAATTATTTTGGAATGTAACGTAGCAATTTTTTTTATTCATCACTCAGAGTCTCTACAAGCGTTCGCAGAGGAATAAGTCAGATCCGAAAGATTGGGGATGGATGACAGAGAAGCTCTGCGATCGTAGTTCAGGATTATTAATGTTCACCCGGTAGACGCATTACGCAGCTGTACGGAAATCCCGGTGCATGGGACACCTATCCCCATCCCTTCGAAGTCAGATCTGATTTATTTTCCTGCGAACGCTGGTCACCACTAGTGTTCACAGGAAAAGGAGCTAAGCAAGGAGTGGGGGCAGGCGACGCATGCGCGGGAATTCCGCACAGTGGCGTGGTACGTCTATAGCGACGTAAAGTCACTGTCTGATCATAGTTCAGAATTATAATGTGCACCTGGTAGACATGCCACGCGGGATTCCTGGCGCATGCGTCGCCTGCCCAACTCCTTGCATAACTTATTTTCCTAAGAACACTGGTTATGTCAAGGTTAGGGTTAACACATTATTGATTGATCCTTAACTCATATACTGGAGTCACTAATGATTCGAACATGGTACAGTAAATTCTTTCGAATATTCTCTCAGCTTATAAACAAAAGTGGACAATTTTGGAAGAGAGGATACGATTATTCGGGATTCGCGACACATTTTTATAGTTCTTAACAATCGGCGACTATAAAAACGAACCGCGAAGCTCGAATAATCATACCCCCTCTTCCTAAATTATCCATTTTTGTGTACAAGCTGAGGGACAATTCAAGAGAATTTACTATATTTCTATTTTCTTTCGTAGGGAAGTTTAATTTTCCACGTTTTCATTATTTTATAACTTACTAAAAATAGAATTCCAGCGAGGCGCTTATTTAGAATTAGATTAACACAATTTCTTTGCAGATCTATTTCTTTATTTTAGGTCTATTATGACCCCGGTACACTAGTCATTTTTGCGACAATCATTATACCACTGAAGGAAGGAAGCTAATCGACTATATACATTGCGAAACATTGAATCTCTGATATTAATATTAAGAATTTATTTATACCAATATATATATATATATATATATATATATATATATATATATATAATTGATTAGAAATCATTTTTGTAAAAATCATTATACCGGTTAATGGCTAATAGGATTCTCAATACCAGTTGCAAGTAAAAAAAAAGCTTGTTAATTTTCAGACAAATAATTTCAGAAAATGTTCTTACAAATTATCAAGCAAACTAGATTGTCGAATAATAGATAAAAATTGTTGGTGTATTTCAACATTTCCTTGAAAAATTCTCAATGCTGGTACATAAAATGTTAATATAAATAGTTAAGAATTGAAATTGGTGCTGAGGAATTGAAATTGATTGGCTTGTTTATTACTTTGAATCAAAATCCACTCAACTT